CTCTGTTGTCTTCATATTTCGTTTGTTTTCAAGTTTTGAATTGTTTTGAACGCCTGGCACTACTATTGCCATATCCGCTTTCTGTTGCATAGAATCGTGTCTGGTCATTACTTTCTTGTTCTTCCCATACTTACTTAGTACCTGTGCACTTTGGCTTTATTCTTGAACTTTGTCGTCTTCTTGACTCTGAATTTTCTCTTTTTTCATTCAATCCTCTGGCTTTTTCTCTTTCTAGCTCTTTGCTTAAATCCGTCATTGTTCAAGCTTTCAAGCTCCTGCAACTGTTGTCGTTCCTTCCTCCGGTGAAGCTTACATCATTCTGTTATTTCGCATCTGTCGCCAGACTTCAGCAATTCTCATTCCGGCTTCCCTCTTTCTGGTAAGCCACTGTTCCTCCTGGTTTTATTTCTTGTTGCTTTCCAAGAAGCTCTGCTTCATTGTTAATCACCATTGTTGTTTTTACCCGTTGTGTTTCCAAATCATCTTCTTGAATACATACTGTTCACACATCTGTTTGATTTCTGCCACTGTTTTTGGCTTGACACACCTGTGCAATCTTTTTGTCTTGATTTCCTGATAGCTTCATCACATTCTTGATTACGAATTACATTCTTGTTTCTGTTTTCTGTGTCTTTTCTAGATTCTTGCTTTCAATCCTTACCTTCAAACTCCAAGGTGCCAATCGCCGAAAAGAGCTTTGATCAAACTTTTCGGGAGATCGATGCTGAACTCGAGGCGAGAAGGCTGCTGAGAAGTTTTCCCAACTGTCTTCTATATCCTGTCATTGATGCCGAGTAGTTTTTGTTTCCTTCTTTTACTCCTTGTACCTTGTACCTTGTACTTAGTTCTTCTTTGTATGCTTTTAATCCGGCCACGTGCCATTTTTGTAGTCTGAATAATTTATTTTTCAATATCAGGCCGAAGTGCCTTCTTTCTTCTTTAAATGTATTTTCCTAATTTCTTTTTGAATGAATGTCTTCTTTTTTTTTGCTCTTGTATGATTCTACACTTAGAATAATTTGCATATCTTCAAAGTACACCTTGACTGTGCAATCTCTTCGGGTAAAATACCTCTGTCATAACTTCTAATCTTGCTCATCTCGCCTTGTCCTAACACTTGAAAATATTGTTAACAAATATTTTCACAAGTGTTGCTTAGGACTTTGTCACTTTCTCAATGTCTTCTATCAAGACTTTCAGTTTTCATATATTCAAGTTTTGACAACCTGGTAGTCTCGGCAAGTACGCAAATATTGCTTGAGCTTGACTTAACTTGTAAAATTTTCTCAAAAATTTTAACAAGTGTTTTAACCATCATTCTTTATCATAACCTCGGCTTAACTTCAACTTGTAAATTTTTTCCAAAATTTCAACAAGTGTTAAACCATATTCCTTTCGATACGACCTTGGTTAACTATAACTTGTAAATTCACACAGAATTTCAACAAGTGTTTAAACCAATCTTCTTCCGATACGACCTCGGTTTAACTTCAACTTATAAATTCACACAGAATTTCAACAAGTGTTAAAATCACATCGTTTAACTTCAACTTGTAAATTCACAACAAATTTCAACAAGTGTTAAATATGACCTCGGTTTAACTTCAACTTTAAATTCACACACAAATTTCAACAAGTGTTAAACATCATCTCGTTTAACTTCAACTTGTAAATTCACACAGAATTTCAACAAGTGTTAAATATCACATCGGCTTAACTTCAACTTGTAAATTCACACAGAATTTCAACAAGTGTTAAATATGACCTCGTTTTAACTTCAACACAGAATTTCAACAAGTGTTAAATATCACATCGGTTTAACTTCAACTTGTAAATTCACACAGAATTTCAACAAGTGTTAAATATCATCTCGTTTTAACAATCAAACTTGTAAATTCACACAGAATTTTCAACAAGTGTTAAATATCATCTCGGTTTAACTTCAACTTGTAAATTCACAAAGAATTTCAACAAGTGTTAAACATCATCTCGGTTTAACTTCAACTTGTAAATTCACACAGAATTTCAACAAGTGTAAATATCACATCGGTTAACTTTAACTTGTAAATTCACACAGAATTTCAACAAGTGTTAAATAATGACTTCGGTTTAACTTCAACTTGTAAATTCACACAGAAATTTCAACAAGTGTTAAATAATGACTTCGGTTTAACTTTAACTTGTAAATTCATACAGAATTTCAACAAGTGTTAAATATCACATCGGTTTAACTTCAACTGTAAATTCACACAGAAATTTCAACAAGTGTTAAATAATGACTTCGGTTTAACTTCAACTTGTAAATTGTCCACAAATTTCAACAAATGTTAAACAATGATCTCGTTTAACTTCAACTTGTAAATTGTCCACAAAATTTCAACAAGTGTTTAAACAATGATCTTGGTTTAACTTCAACTTGTAAATTGTCCACAAATTTCAACAAGTGTTAAACAAATGATCTCGGTAACTTCAACTTGTAAATTGTCCCCAAATTTCAACAAGTGTTAAACAATGATCTCGGTTTAACTTCAACTTGTAAATTCACACAGAATTTCAACAAGTGTTAAACAATGATTTCGGTTTAACTTCAACTTGTAAATTGTCCACAAATTTCAACAAGTGTTAAACAATGATTTCGGTTTAACTTCAACTTGTAAATTGTCCACAAATTTTCAACAAGTGTTAAACAATGATTTCGGTTTAACTTCAACTTGTAAATTGTCACAAATTTTAACATTTTAATCAATTTGTAATTGTTCCACAAATTTCAACAAGTGTTAAACAATGATTCGGTTTAACTTCAACTTGTAAATTGTCCAAAATTCAACAAGTGTTAAACATATTTGTCTTCTCTCTGCCCCCTGCATGGCTTTCACATGCTCTTTTGTGGACCTCATAAAGGTGTTCAACCTGGCTAACTGCAGTCTGACCTTGTATGTTTTCTTTTTATCTTCTTGGATCTGAGATCTTCACTGAGCTCTTCTCTTCTCGGGCTTAAGTGCCGAGGTCTTGTCTGTTGGAATCTTGGATCTGCTTTCTCAGGTTGAGCTCTTCTCTTCTCGGACCTACTCATCTAGCGAGAATTATGCCTTCTGGGATTCCGGGACCGG